TTCGATAATCAACATATTATCAAACAAATGAAGCTCCAATGGTACAAAATTCATGTGCAAAACACACTCATCACTCTCTTTGCAGGCGTTTCAAGATCCAACGACAACCACAGCAGCATCAAAATCCCATTCACCACACAATGAACAAACACATGTTCAATCACAAGAACCAATAGCCAGAGCCAAGATCTAAGACTTTATTTGCAGTCATTTCAAGATCCAATTTTGCTCGACCACCATAACCAACAACAGCCTCGCAGCATCAAAATCCCATCCAAAACAATGAACAAACACATGTTCAATCACAAGCATGATTGAACTATGACTGTCCCCCCACTTCTTGCGGCAGTATCACAAACATTAGTTACCCATTTCGACTTAGAGGCGACCCCGAAAATTCTTGCGTAATGCTTCCACATCAGCGTTTATTCTCTCTCGATCCTGCAACAACTCCAGGCATTCTGTAAATTCGACTTGTAAATCTTATGATATCAAAACGACAAACCATCTTTGAGCAAACATCCTTACCTTTCCATCAAAAGTGACAACAAGAGGTCCTTTTCTTGATTCATGGTAACCTCCTTTGAAAGCGTAAAATTAATTAGTAACAACAAATACCAACACCACTGCTGGCATAGTAAACTATTGTCTGAAGATTCTTACCAATGTAAAGATCAGGAAATTCAATACAGATTTCTGAAAGAGGATGAGCTGCTTCCACCTGCATCACACTATCCTCTATCTAATTTCCAGTAGATTCTTCGTGCAAATCAAGAGTAGCCATTGATTTCTCAGGAAGAATCGCTGGAGAGGGAGGCTAGGTTTTGAAGCTGGGAGAATTTGATGGGTTGGAACTTGGAAATAGGGTTACGGGTTGGGTCGGTTTGAAAATATTTAAACCGTGAACCGACCTGACCCAACCCATTTTTAAATCAAAATCGACCAGAACCGGTAGGGTCGGTTCGGATCGGATCCACGGGTTTTAGGTTCTTGGACCCAGCCCTAGTTGTAGGTTCTTATCATGGTATGACCCATCTATGTGTCGTAGATCTATGGAGACTATACTTGGGCTGCTAAGATCCAAGAATGCATAGGAACAACATGTTCTAGAATTGTAGAGGCAGAACAATGCTTTTGGATCTAGTACTTGGGTTTGAGGTGGAAAATAAAGTTTCAGTAGTCTTGCTCATTTGTGTAATGAATGGATGTTAGTAAATGTTGCGATCTCCAGTGGAAGTTCTATAATGAACAATGAAATGTTCCAATTTCCTGTTTTTGTTGTGTTATTTTCTGGTTATTCATGTGTTGGGGAATACGATTGCAGTATTTGTGTTCAAATTTTAGTGCGAAAAACCACGTGAAATGGGAAATGTTGCATGAAACAACTTTAGAAACGTGAAACATTATGCAATACAACTATAATTTTTAAATCCTTGTGCATTGAAACCCTAAAATTTTTTAAATTTGATCAAAGTTCTCCTAGAATTACGAAGCTTGTGCAAATCCTGACCAATGAATCCATTCAACCCATACAAAAATAATCAACGAACAACAAAAAAGAAGAAAACGTCATAAACATAGATAGACTACCAAAACTAAAGGTTCAGATTACAAAATCATCATCATATGCAGTACATTCCTCAAAATGGTGAATATGAAATACATGACAAAGCAATAATCATTTCTCAATTTGCAGTAGGTAATTCTTGGCCACTACAGCTTTTTTTATTGTGCCCAACATCATCACACAAGGGACACCTCATTACCAATCCTTTCCTTGAAGAACCTCCAACCGTAGAGGTCATGCTGTTAGACGGTGTCGGTAGTTCATTTTCCTCATTTCTTCTCTTCTTCTTGGTCTTCTTGACTTCTTCGTGTATGCTGGAGGTGTCAATGGATTTAGTCTTGGATTTAGCCATGTATCTAGAACTGTGATTGGAGAAATCGATAGTGTATAGGTCAAATGCTTCAAACCAATCCTTATTGAAATCAACATGCTTCACTTAATCCAAGAACACCACCGTACCGTGTTTGTACATTATATTATTCAATTATAGAAAAAAAAAAAACACCCCCATTTTGAGTAGCCATTATATAGTAGTTTTTATATTCGTCTGGGTGAATATGGAAAAAAGCTAATTATTACTGAAAATTGGTCAAACCCACAGCAATCAACATGCATACAGGTAATAAACCAAAATTCAAACATGAGCACGTAAAAAAAAAAAGAACCAAAAACATCATTTTTGAAATGCAAAATAGGGACACTAACCATAATTTGGAGCTTATCTTCAAAACCTCTTATTGTAGGAACATACATTTTCGATAAACGCAAGAGGAAGCTGTACACATAACAAAAATCAATTAATTTCAAAAATCCATTTCAAATTTTGATTTTGTTTTGCACACAATCGAAATACAAATGCTGCAGATTTCACTTACCCTTGCAAAACGGTCCGTAGAATGTCGTGATGAGATACCTTCATCAAAACAAATTGCTCGAATCATGGATGAAGGAGAATCATTTGACGTTGATCGTGGGTTTACATCCGACTTCTTGCCTCTGGGTGTGACTGTTCGTTTCTTGCAGATTACACCCTTACTCCAAGCAAACATACCTTTAATAAGTGAGGAATATGGAAAGACGCTTTTGCCCTTTTAAATTTTTTTTTTTTGCATTTTGTCCCTCTTTAATTGGAATTAACGACAGAAGTAATGGGAGCGGATGACGGGGGTGGTTCGTACCTGAAAGATCATATAGGGGGCTTTCAGTCAATTTGAAAAGGTAGGGGATATTTTGCAATAAGTTCATACGATGGGGGTATTGTGCCAATAAGTCTTAAAAATACCCCACTGGATTCTTTCTCAACTAACTTAAAAATTAATTTAAATGATATTTGTGTTGTAAAACTCTAGGATAATTATTTATGACTATTTAATTTTATTAGAATACTTAGATAATTCATTTATACTCTGGAAGAGTTTATTCTATTTAAATTGTAATTCTCATTTAAACTATGTGTATGTGGGTCCATTGCTATAACAAAAATATGTAAATCTATTGACTTTCTTTATTCTTCACTTATATTTCTTTCTCGTTCCTTTATGATTATAACATGTTATCAACACAAAAGAGCTCATCAAAAATAGAGAAAAAAAATTCAAAATCAACAATGCAGAAAATTTGCAAAATCTTGACAACCTATTTAGGATCCTATGATTCGATCATCGTGAAATTTGAACAAGTCCACAACTCATTGTTATTCAAATTCACGGTTAAAATTAGAATCCTACGATTTTGTTCATGAGAAGTTTCTATATAAACGGTAGCAAATTTGAATTAAATCTATAGATCTTTTAAATCTTTTGATTTAATAATTTTAAGGTTCCCGAAGAAGCATATCTTTATACGATAAGATAGTATGTTGTTATTACTATGAAATAGCACAACTTTACGAATTATTATATTCTCGAAATGATTTAAATTCTCCCGTAGAAGCAAAAAGGATGTTATATCAATATTCTGTCAGAATATTATATAGCTACCGCCGAAAAAAATTAAATTTTACAACTATTAATTTCTAGAAGAATATAGCGTCGTTTATAAATAAGCGTAAAATTTATTATGCTTGAATAATTTATATCTCATTGTATTCTTGAAGAAGCACGAATTAAAAAAAAAAATTGGGTTGTAAAATTTTTATCTTATTAATATTTAAATATTTATTGTTCCTGAAGAGCATAACATACTATATTTCAATATTCTCAAAAAATATTATATATTATTGCTTTTAAAGAAGCATAAATATTGATATATTAATAAGATTTAATATGGATCTTCAAGATATTTATTTAACAGATAGTACAACTATGGTCATAAGTTTTCAAGATAAAAATTATTTTCTTGAAATTAATATTAGCATAAAGCAATATAAACATGATATTAGGTGCATCAAATATTATTGAAGACCTAAAAGGGTTAAAATTATCCTACCAAATAATACAAAAGTATATATTGATGAAGTATTCTATTTCAGAAAATTCAAAAGAAATTTACTTAGTTTTTTTAACGATATTTGCTAGAATAAATATAAAATTGATATAATGCAAGAAAAAATTATTGATATAATGAAAGAAAAAAATATTGATATAATGCAAGAAAAAAATATTGAATATATTTGCTTAAAATTTTTTTATATATGGCCATAAGCATATAAAAGAAAATTTCATGGCACTCTCCTCTAACGTGTACTATACATTCATAAAAATGATGAAATCAAAGATTGCAATGAACTTTAAGTTTTTAACCCAAAACGTTTTATACTTTGACATGTTCAACTTGACACCCATGAGAAACTATGATGTGCCAAATAATTAACAACTTACATGGACATCATCTAAAGAAACAGAAAATTTATTTACCTAATGATTATCTATGTGTTGTTTGTTCACAATGCAAGTATTCATTATACATTCTGCTACAAAGATCGAATTTGAATCTCCAACTTTCTTGGAAAAGTCATGGAAATATATGTTGCTCTGTAATACACCTACCATGTGGATCATTTCATTATTTTATGGTCTTAATTGATTTCTCTACTAGTTGATCATATTTTTGTTTACTTTTCACTAGAAATGTATCTTTTGCTAGACTACTTACACAAATCATGAAATGATGAACTCAATTTCCCTATTAATCAATCAAGATAATTTGTCTTGATTAAGCTTGTAAATTTAGTTTACAAGCACTCAATGAGTATTGTATGTCCATTGGAATTGCCATTTAACATTTGGTTGCTCACGTACATACAGAAAATGATTTAGTGAAATCGTTTGTTAAATGTTTATAATTCATTATTAAACCATTACTTATAAAAATAAAACTCCCATCTTTTGTTTCTGGTCATGACATATTAAATATTGAATCATTAGTTCCCATAAGGGTAACTGCTTATTATCGATACTCAAATTTAAACTTGAATTTGGTCACAAACCTAATATTTTTCATCTACGAATCTTTGATTGTATTGTACAAGTCCCAATTGCAACCCACAACGTACTAAAATAGGTCCCCAAAGAAGACATAATTTATGTTGGTTCTAATTCACTATCCATTATATGGTACCTTATATCTTTAACGAGTGATTTGTTTATTGTACGTTTTGTACATTGTCACTTTGATGAACTAGCTTTCCTAAATTTTGGTAGGGTTAAAACTACGTCATGAAAAATAAGATAAAATTTCTTGGAATGAAACAATCTATCTCTTTCTAATCCTTTCAAAAATCAATGTGAACAAGATGTTAAAAAAAAATCATTCACTTCCAAAATATTGCAAATCAATTATCTAATATATTTGTTGACACAAGAGAAGTGATAAAATCATATATAGTAGCTAAAAATACTCCAACAAAATTGGCGTTCATATAGGACAATTTGTAATAGCAAATGAATCTCAAATACGTCAAAAGTGTGGTCTACCAGTTGACGTCAAAGACTCAATATCTCAAAAAAGAAAAGTTCAAGATAAAAATCAACCAAAAACTTTATAAGTAAAATTGTTAAAGACTGTCAACGTAGAAATGATTAGCTAAAATGAAAAGAAGCCATGCAGGCAAAGTTGGATTTCTTAAAGAAACAAAAAATGTTTAGATCTGAAGTTCAAACCATTGAAAATGTAATACGTGTAGGATTACAAATGCGTTTCTATAAGGAAGAAAACAATGAAGAAAATGAAATTATGAAATATAAAACTCGTCTCGTAGTCCAAGATTTCTCACAAAGACTTGAATTAATTATGAGGAAACAAATTCTCCCATAATGAACACAATCACTTTTAGATTTTTCATTAGTTTGACTGTTTCACAAAGGTTTGATATGCGCTTTATGGATTTAGTAATTGCCAATCTATATGGTTCACTTGATAGTGACATATACATAAAAATTTCGAAAAATTTAAAGTGCTAATAATAAACGAAAATGTCTCAAAATATTAGTTAAATTGAAAAGATTATTATACTAATTGAAACAATCCAGAAGTATGTGATATATTGCCTTTGAAGGAGTGTTATAAAAATGATGATATTTGTGCATGTGTTTTTATAAATATAACATATATGTAACAGTTTATGTTGATAATTTAAATTTTACTGGAACTTTTGATGAGCTCAACAAAACTGCATATTAGTTCAAAAAAGAAAAATTTGAGATGAAAAATTGGGAAAATCAAAATTTTTTTCTTAGGTTGCAAATTGAATTTTTCCAAGAATGATTTGTTCATCAATCTTCATATACAAAAAAAGTCGTAAAACGTTTGTATATGAATAAAACTCATCCATTAGCATCACCTATGATTGACCAATCACTTAATAATGTGAAAAAAGATCAAATTTCTCCACTTGTAGATGGTTAAAAGGTTCTTAGTCTTGAAATATCATATATTTAGTGTAGTTGGAGCATTAACATACCATAAAAATTTTACTCGACTCGACGTAGCTTTTTTTGTGAATTTCCTCGTGATATATAACCCTACACCAATTCAAAAATATTGGAATGGTGTTAAATACATTTTCATTACCTAAGAGGTAATATTGATTTGTAATTATTTTATTCTTAAAAATTGGGATGTTGTTTAATGGGATATGCAAATGTATGTTATCTCTATAATCCATGTAAAACTAAATCACAAACATGATATATGTTTACACATGGAAGAACAGCTATATCATGGAAATTTGTGAAGCAAATCTTGACAGCAATATTTTCAAATCAATCTCAAGTCATTGCAATATATAAAGCAAGTCGAGAATGTGCATAGTTGAGAAACATGACCTATCATATTCAAGCATCAAATGGATTAATTTTAACAAAAGATAGTCCAACAATTTTTTTATAAAGACAATGTAACTTGTATTGCACAATTCTAAGGGGGCTATATCAAAGGGATAGAACAAACCAAAATTCTATTCTCAAAAGCTTCTTAAGAATGGTGACATCGATATTTAACAAATTAATTTGAGTAACAATGTTGATTACTTATTCACAAAAGCAATATCGACATCTACATTCAAGAAATTGGTATTACAGATTGAAATGCGTTGACTAAAAAATCTTCAATGATTAGCATTAGGTGGATCACGTATACTCTTTTTCCTCAGTTTAAATTTTGTCCTAATGATTTTCCTGACAATATTTTCATGAGGCAACTTTTTTTTTATATACTCCAAAATTTAACAATTATTTGTATCATTTTTCCATTTGTTTGGTTTTTTTTCACTAGGTTTTTATCGAACAAGTCTTTAATGAGGTAGTTATTGTGCAAATAGTCATCAAATGGGAGTGTTGTAAAATTATAGGATAATTATTGATGATTATTTAGTCTTATCCAAATATTTAGATAAATCATTTCTAATCTAACATAGTTTATTCTATTCAGATTGAAGTTCTCATTTAAACCTTATTCAAGGACGTGCGTTGCATGTTTTATGTATCAGATGAATGATACACGTAATGTTTTACATCTTGAAATATGCCAACTCATAAAAACTTAAATCTTCCAGGAAAGCAAACTCTTCCAATAAGACTCAATTTCATCTTTTGAAAAACTCTTTAGAAAT